CTTGTTAATGGGACTGAAATGGTGAATGTATGTAGGGCACAACTATAAAAAAAATTTATTTTGAAGTCCTGTGGGTGTGCTCTTCACTTTAAATATGTTATTGTGCTGGAGTATGCACTTAGCAACAAGACTGGGCCAATATCTGCTCATTACATATGGTACATATTAATGACATTTCTCTGTGTATTATGCATATATAAGGTGCGCTGTGTCTTTAAGACCCAATTATAAAAAGTGCCACAAGTGCAAACACTGTAATAAAGTGCAAAGTGATACAAAGTGCACATAAAGTGTAAAGTGTTAATAAAAAATATTATACATACATATGTCCTCTCAAATAGAAATACATTTCTATTTGAGAGGACATATGTATGTATAATATAATTGGGTCTTAAAGACACAGCGCACCTTATAATTTTAAGTATATAGAGATGAGTGTTTGGAGGAGTTTTACACTTGTTTTTGGTGCAGCTTCATAATATATTTTTTGGATAGCTATATTTTAAGACGAGTTTATTACTAGCGCCTACTTTTTACTTGTTTTTGTGTGTATATTATGCATATATAAATGTACATTAATATGTGTAAATATAATATATATATATATATATAAATATATATATATATATATAAAACAAATATTAACATTAATATACATATCATATACCAGTGACGGATCCAGAGCCTGAGCCCGGGAGGGGCACTTGTAGATTATTTAAAGAAATATTCCATGCACAATAACCACTACTCCTCTGTGTAGTGGTTATGGTGCCAGGAGTGTCGGCACCCCCTCCCAGAGTCTGGAGTCTGCTGGGATATGGGGCTGTAGTAGGGTATAGGCAGGCCCGGACTGGCCATCGGGCACACCGGGCAAATGCCCGGTGGGCCGCGGTGGCCATGGGCCGAGGCCGGCAGGGGAGGTCCCAGGATCTCCCCGGCCGGTCTATGCAGGGCCGGCACTATCCGAGCGCCGGCCCCGCTGTTTGCCATGGAGGGCCGGTGCGGAGATCAAAGATCTCCCTCACCGGCCCATTTAAACAGACCTGCGGCTGGGGAGGGAGGGAGAGGACCCGGCGGAGCTCTATCTTGCAGCTCCGCCGGGTTCCTCTCGCGAGATCCGGCGCGTTGCCATGGCAACGCCCCGATCTCGCGAGAGTGAACTCTAGCCCTCAGGCTAGAGTTCACTCACCACTGGACCACCAGGGATGATGTCACCGTGCCGGTCCCTCCCCTCCCAGACACCACGTGCCTGTCCCCCCCCTCCCAGGCTAAAGGTAAGAGGGAGGGGGGGGATTTAATGCATACATAGTTGTTTTTTTTATTTCTTTATTTACCCCCCCCCTTAGTTTTTTATTTACCCCCACAAAACACATCATACACAGCACTCTCACACTCATCACACTCTGCACTCTCACACACATCATACACAGCACTCTCACACTCAGCACTCTCACACTCACATCACACTCTGCACTCTCACACACATCATACACAGCACTCTCACACTCAGCACTCTCACACTCATCATACACAGCACTCTCACACACAGCACTCTCACACACATCATACACAGCACTCTCACACTCAGCACTCTCACACACATCACACTCAGCACTCTCACACACATCATACACAGCACTCTCACACTCTGCACTCACACACAT